GACGAGGACGAGGAGGAGGAGGAGGAGGGGGGGGGAGAGTACCAGGAGGAGGAGAACGAGGACCACCAGGAGGAGGAGGAGGAGGAGGAGGAGGAGGAGGAGGAGGAGAGAACACCAGGAGGAGGAGGACGAGCAAGACGAGGAGGACGAGAACGAGGGCGACCAGGAAGAGGAGGAGGAGGGGGAGGAGGGGAGGGGGAGGACTACCAGGAGGAGGAGGAGGAGGAGGAAGAGGAGGAGGAGGACGAGGAGGAGGAGGAGGAGGACGAGGAGGAGGAGGGGGGGGGAGAGCACCAGGAGGAGGAGAACGAGGACCACCAGGAGGAGGAGGAGGAGGAGGAGGAGGAGGAGGAGAGAGCACCAGGAGGAGGAGGACGAGCAAGACGAGGAGGACGAGAACGAGGACGAACAGGAGGAAGAGGAGGAGGAGGAGGAGGAGGAGGAGGAGGAGGAGGAGGAGCAGGAGAAAGAGGAGGAGGAGGAGGAGGAGGCAGGCTGAGGCTGAGGCTGTGAATGCGACTGCCGTTGCCGCTGCGACTGTCATCGCGAATGCGACTACGACTGCGAGAACAGCAGAATTCGACAACTGGATTTTCATCTGAATCTTAAGGGGAATGCTTTCAGATATGCTTCTACACATCGCTGTTAGGTTGCTTTGCCGGGATAATTTTGAATACGGTCGGGACGTTGACCTAAGGAACCCTAAACAAGGAACGAGGCCCCTCTTTCCCATCAGTTAAAGTTCGATTTCTTATCGAAAACCTAAAGAATACCTAAGGCAAGCTGTGAAACAATCAAGGAACACGGAGCCCCTCCCCAAACAAAAGGTTTCCTTATTCAGAGCCCCGACTGTATTCCTCCTGCAGAGGGACAGGCCCGACTTCAAGGCAGAGGCGCCGGGTAGAGTCCGCACGGCGACGGCGAGCGGCAGCCGAGACGCACGGAAGCGGCCGGCGCGAGGGGGGACGGGAGGCACACCGCGAGGCGCAGGCGTCCCCTGGCCTTAAGTCGGGCGTGTCCCCCTACAGGGGGAGTTCGGGCGAAAAATAGGAGGTACCCAAAACATACCCGCCCCAAAGGGCAAAAGTAATCAAAAAAGTTGTCCCCAGACTTTTTTGGGGGACTATTTTTGAACATTCCTCCTGTAGAGGGACAGGCCCGACTTAACCCTAGCCCGCGGCCCAGCGCCCACGGGCATCCCGAACGTGCAGCTGCGAGGGGTCGGGGGCGGCCAAGAGGCGGGCGTCCAGGGGGGGGGGGGAGGGCGCAAATCATCGCCTGCGGCACGTGCGCGGCCCAGGCGGGGGGGGCTGGGGACGCAGGAACAAAAAGAAGGGGCGACATGAAATCTGGGGAGATCTCGTGGCCCCCGCCACGATATCCCCCCCCCCCCCAGTCATCATCCCCCTCTTGGCCGCCCCCGAAGGGGGGGGGGGTCCTCCTGTAGAGGGACATGCCCGACTTAAGCCCAAATCACCCGCAACCAGACCACCCAGATGGGTACTCAGGAGGAGGAGGCGGAGGAGGAGGAGGAGGAGGAGGAGGAGGAGGAGGAGGCGGAGGAGGAGGAGGAGGAGGAGGAGGAGGGATTGTCGGTGACGGATTTCGGTCGCGCCGGATTTCGGCCGCGACCAGAAGGAGCCGTCGGATCCATCGGTCACGAGGAGCAGGGTCCGCGCGAGTTTCGAAGAAGACGCCGACGGCGGCTGGGTGGGAGCCGTCTGGGGGTCTGAGGTGGCCCAGCACAGGAGGGGGCGGAAGAGATTCCAGGCTGTGGGTTCGATGATTTGTTTTGACCTTTTTCGGCCTCTGGACCCACATACCTTCAAAAACGGATCTGGGGTGGACAACTGCGCCAGATGGACCCTGGGAGGGGTCCGGGACCGATTTTGAGCAGATTTGGCCTCATCTCCCCTCATGGCCGATTTTCTGAAGCCCCAGCCAACTCAGACCCCCTGTGAACATCGTTTAACCGATCCCTATCCCCACTGGCGTGGCATTGGCCCCACTGGCCAATGTACCTCCCTAAATGGGGATATAGGCTGTTCCCTTCGGAAATTCGAGGAGTATATATCCCCAACTGGAGTGGTGAGATCGTCAGGCTCGGGATGGGGATGGGGATATGGGTCGGTTGAACAGCACTGACCCTGGCCGCCCCCGAGGGGGTGGCAGTGAGGCCAGCTCAGCGCGGGTATCAAGCCCGCACGCTGCGGGTGGCATCTCCGCCAAAGCCACAGAGCAGCAGCCGTGCCAGCTGGGCCAGAGGATGTGGCAGCGGCGCCTGCCAGGGGGACTGCGTGGCCTCGGCCATGGTATCCACACCCCCTTTTGTCGGGGGCGCGCAGACATGGATCGGCGATCCCTGGATCTGGCGCGCGGTGGCCACATCCATGGATCGCGGGAGGTGCCCTCCCCAAAATGCGGATGCGGCCGGTGCCGCCTCGCCCGGCGGCGGAAATCCGCGATCTCCCATGGAAACGGGACCCGTCGCCAATCCACGCCCCCTTGATCCACGTTTGCGATCGCCCGATCTTGGACGCCCCCGGCCCACCCAAAAGTGCCGCGTGGCGGCCCTCCCGGAGCGCTCCCCGGGGGGGGGGGGGCCGGCCGCCGCGACCGGCACGGACGCCTGGGCGCGGGAGCCGAGCCGCGGCCAGCAGCGCTCGATCCTCTCTGCCGCCTCCCATCAGGCGCAGCTGCCCACCTCACCCCTCTGGCAGCGGGTCGTATCCAACGTCCCTGGCGCTGCCAGGTGAGAGGTGCGTCAGGATCTGGCCTCCCCACAGCAAGATTCGGGTTCAGCGGCCCACTGCAGGAGCCAGATGTTCGAGCCAACGTCGACGCGTTCGGCCGCTGCCCCCTCCCCCCTTTCCCCCTGCCCCGTTTCCTCCCTGCTCCTTTACAACCTTCCCGTGGGGGGCATTTGCTTGTAGGGCAATTTCTTCTCTGCAGCACTCGGGGCAGGATCTGGAACGGTGTTCTCGGGTATACCTGCCGAGCTCATTGGCGGTGTGAGGCCGACTCCGTCGCCAACGAAAATTCTCCTCTACGACGCTCTGACTACTGAACTCGTCAGACTACGATGCACAATTTTCAATCTGGATGCGTAACGAGCCCTGTTGCGATCATCATTCCCTCCTCCTTTACATTTTCCTCCCCTCCTGCTCATCGTCGTCGAAGTTGTCCTCCACCTCCTCCTCCTCGTCCTCCTCCTCCTTATGCATCGTCCCCCTCGTCCCTGTCCCTGTCCACGTCCTCGCTCTTTCCTGTATCATTCCATCATAATCATCTCCGGCTTCCTCCTCTTACTCCTCCCTCCTCCCCGTCATGCCCACTCCTGCCCCCCTCCACTCCTCTCTCCTCTTCCTCCTCCTCCTCCTGCTCCTCCTGCTCCTCCTGCTCCTCCTCCTCATCATTCTCCTCCTCCCTCCTCCCTCCTCCCTCCTCCCTCCTCCCTCCTCCTGCTCCTGCTCCTGCTCCTGCTCCTGCTTCTGCTCCTGCTCCTGCTCCTGCTCCTCCTCCTCCTCCTCCTCCTCGTCCCAAGGTCTCGATGCCCTCCTCATCTTGACACATCGCGGAGCCTGCAGGTCCACACCCCGGGTGATGGAGTACTGCCTCGGCAGGGGAGGCGACGCCAGAGCCCGCCGGGACGCAACGCTGATGGGCGAGGGAGGAGGAGGAAGAGGAGGAGGAGGAGGAGGAAGAGGAAGAGGAAGAGGACGAGGAGGAGGAGGCGGAGGAGGAGGAGGAAGAAGGGAAGGAGGAAGAGGAGGCTGGCCCCCCCCATCCGACGACCAGCTTCCTGGCATCCCACTGGCGGACGTAGGGGCTGCGCGGGGCGAGGCCCAACTCCAGTACGACGACGACTAGGACCTGCAACCCGTCCGGCATCGGCGGCCCGCGGGACTGCCGCGCGGAGGCGGCGACAGGCCCGCCCGCGACTCCTCCCCGACGGGGCCGCCCCGACGGACCCGCCCGGCGGCCAGCGACGGCGCCCCTCCCCTGCCTCAACGGCTGCGCCCCGCCCGCGGGCTCGTGCCATCGCTCGGACGCCTCATCCCTCCTCCCCGTGCACTCTTCGGTCTCGTGCGTGCTTTTTCTTTGCTCGAGGATCCAGGATGTTCCTCGATTTCGGTGGCAACTCGTGGGAGCCTCCCGTACCATCTTGCCGGCTCTTGCGAACCGACGCTGAATCGACGCTAATCGACGCCAGATCGACGCTAAGCGACACAAGCCGACGCTAAATCGGCGCTATCTCATCGACTCCCAGACGCGAATCGACGCTAGACACGGAATTAAGAGGGTGTACCAGGCTCCCATGATCTGCTACCGAAATCCAGGATGTTCCTCGATGGTCCTCGCCGAGGAAAAAACAAGGGCGTCCACGGGGGGGCGTCCAAGAGGGGGGGGTGGCGCAAATCATGGCCGGGGGCACGTGCGTGGTCCAGAGGGGGGGCATGAACGTATTGAAAGAACAAGAGGCGCCATGAGCCGTGGGGAGATATCATGGCCCCCGCCATGATATTCCCCCCCCTAGTCATCACCCCCCTCGTTGCCGCACCTGGAAAAAGACGCGCACGCCTGAGCAATGTCGGGACCACGGTGGAGGAGGACGAGGAGGAGGAGGAGGAGGAGGAGAAGGAGGAGGAGGACGAGCAGTAGGAGTAGGAGGAGGAGCCTTCTCAAGAGCTTTCCCAGTCTGACAGGGTCAGAGCTGCAGGAGGGCTTCGAAGAGGCCTCAAGCACGGCCAAAGTGGGCAGGCCCCCCACCCCAGGCCAGCTGGGCTCCACGGGGCGGGGACGCTGGCCCAGGGTGAGGAGGCGCGCCTACCAGGCACCTCAGCCGCCCTATCTGAGAGGGCGGCCGATCGAAACTCGAGATAACACCCAGGCCCCCATCCTCGTCGGGGATTGCCCGCCCTGACACTTACACTCCTCCGCGAGGCCTCTGAAGTGGCCCCTCCCCATGGGAGTTCTGCACCCGCACTTCGAACAAATCCAATAGGGCTCATAAAACATAAGGGTATGCAATGGGTGGCCAAGCCTAGTATCCGCCGCAATCAGATGCTGCTGGGCCTGCTCTCTGGGGGGGCCAAGGCACTCGGAGGCAAACCAAACATTCACATGCTATTCGACAATTTACTAACTGAGTTCTGACAAAACGAACAGGACCACCGAGACTTCAAATCAATAAGTTGGCGGTTCGAACCTGCTTGGGCCTGTGCCAGGGCGCGCGGTCTACATCTTCTCAGGACTCTTCTGACCTGTCTCGCCGAGAGGGCCGGAGCTTCACTCTCAAAAGCATTCAAGGTGGCTCTTAACATCCTATTTCTAATTCTAAAACCTGTGGCGACGGCACATTTATAACAACTCAATCTAGCTGCTGGGATGGCATGGTCACTGGCTGCTTTTCCTGCAAACCCATCTGCTGCAACTGTGTCCCCCTGCCATGCTGTAAGGGGCACGCCTCGGGCCTGGGCATCCTCCCAGGTCTGGTGGCTGCGCATGAAGAAGACCGGCACGTCGGCCTCGCATCTGTCAGCGAGGGCCGTCGCGCTCTGTTCCCACGGATCACCGAGAACACTCCATCCACCAGGCCGACGGTGTCTGCCACGGCCCCAGCTCGTGTCTTGTAGAGGATATCCGAGTCAGTCCAGAAGTGCACCGGGCCTTGCCTGTCCCGCAGGGCCGACAACGGCGCCGTGATCTCCGCGCGGTTGTTGGTTTGCCGCGGCCCTGCAAGCGGGCCCTCAGCTCCTCCTCGAATCGCAAAGCGGCTGAGAGGTGTCCAGGGCGATCCAACTCCAGCCACAGCGCCGATATCTCTCGTCATCTGCTTCCTCTCCGCCGCTGCCGTCGCCGCAGACCAGCAAGGGCTGCCATTGGGTCGCGATGCGCGGCAGGTGCAGCGCCTCTCTGAAGAGCGTCTCGGTGGAGACTGCGTCGCAATCTGGCGGGTGGTCCATGCTTTCGGCGGGATCCCTCTCAACCACCTGCTTGGACAGAACTGCTGTCCAGACTCAGCTATGCCTAGGAGCTCCTGAGACTTCTCGAAGTCTGGGTGGTCTGGCCTCGCACTGCACCCTCCCCAGAATCTGCGGAAGTCGTCCGCGCGCTGGCCGCAGGAGCAACGCCTATCTCCTGCGAGTTCTTCCCCAAAGAGGTCCGTCTTCCTCGCAGGAGTCCAGGTCCCTGCTGTCATGGCTGTTAGGAGGGCGTTCGCCTGTGGCAACCTGTTGTTCCTCCTCAGCTTTGCCGGTGTCCTCTTTGCATCAGACATGTCAACTCCATGTTCCATCCCATTGCCAAGATAACCCCTGGATCCTGGATGCTGCTCTCCACAATTGGAGCTCAATGCCCGACAGGATAGCTGTGATGATTGTCGCAGGGTTACGCTCGGCATCCTTTGGTTTCATTTCCCCATCATCGCCACGTTGGTCACTCCACCTCGCAGCCGTCTTGGGATCCCAGCCTGCTTCCCGAAGGGTCAAGATCAACGAGCCGATGATCCCGCGCCTGTGCCTCCAGCGGTGCTGCGGTGGTGCTCTGTGTAGACGGTCGTATATTTTCTGCCGCACTCTGGAAATAACACCTCGTAGGTCTGCACAATTCGCATGCGAATCAAACCAGGCTCGCAGTTGAGCCTCTGGAATCTCCACTGATGAGCAACTCCATGGGCCCGCATACCATACAAGAGTGATGGCATTGATCCTTGACTCAACATTGTCATCCTCTTCTCTCTTCTCAGCCATTTCAATTTCTTACCCAATTACGTCATACATTTGTAAGCCTTAGTCGTCCCCTCCGTGTGTATCGCTCGTCTCCTCACTCCGCGTGCAGCCCTGTCGATGCCCGGGTCTCTGGCCTCTTGGGCCGCACGAATGAGTATACCTTTCTTTTGAGCCTGCAAGTGACGCGCTTGGTCATGGCGCAATCGGGGCTGATGACAACGCCCCTGTCCGCCAGCTCGAGGCCCTCGTCGTCCAAGGCGCTCCCGAGCGCGACGGTGGAGCTCACGATTGCGTCCTCCACCGCGCTCGCACAGCCGTAGATCGCGGTGCTCATGTCGTCGAACCGCGCTCTGGGGTTGGCCCGAGGGGTCTGGAGGGCCACCTTGGACAGCACCCTGTAGACCACAGCTCGGGCAAGATTGTTCGCATGTCTCGACCCTGCCAGGAGTGAGACGATGGCCGGGCAGGGGCTGCCATAGGCCCCTTCTCCGCGAAGGAGCCGTGGTACTGCGTGTATCTGTAGTTGCAATGCCAACGCCCACTTCGGGAACCGCAAGTCCTCGCGCGCCGCGAGCACCGTCGTAACCGCCGGACTGTCGTGGAACCTGCTGATGTGCGCCAGTGAGACCGCCGACGCCATCGCCATCGCATCGGCCGCCTCGTCCTGCAGCGCCCTCGCTAGCGCCTCGCGGAGGCAGGAGGGGCCCTTGAGCGCGGCGTCCCAGGGCTGCGGCGCCTGGCGCACCCAGAGCTCCACCGTCGGCCTTACGAGCATCTGCCAGCAGCGGATGAGCCGCGCGATCAATGCCAGGGCCCTGTCCCCAGACTTCTTGGGCTCCAGCATGCCCATGGCCGACAACAACTGGAATGACCGCGCCTGTCTCCTCCGGGGCGTTGAACAAATCCATGAATTTTCGGGCGGGCCGCCGCTGGGAGGCGGCGCGCGTCGCTCGCAGCAAGTCCATCGACGCCTCTGCCCCTATCAGGCTGGAGGTGGAGGGCCTGGTCTAGATGCTCCAGCGTCCAGACAGGGCAGGGCCCCTGGCGAGCCTGCCCCCTGACTCAAGCCAGAGCGGCTACGGAGCCGCGAGGCGAAACTCGTTTCGAGGGCCATATCCCCTCGAAGACAGACGTTTAAATATCAATCATCTCTAAAGGCGGGCGGCGTGATCTTCTCGTTGCCACGGATTACATCATCATCAAATCTGGGGCGGGGCTTCGCCATTATGCAACTTCCCAGGCTTGGCGAGGCATGGGTCCGAGAGCCAATCGGCCCACGCCCGTGACTCCTTTTCAACATCATGCTCGTGGGCCTTGGTGGTCTCCTCGGATGCTCGGAGTGCCATGCCAGGGGGGGTCAGACGCTCGACCCTTGGAAATGTCCGAGAGCCGCTCAACCCAAAGAGCACGGTGGAGGCGCGCCGTCGGGGTTGGGTTCCTACCTCCAGACGGGACCCCCTCCTGCGCAAGTCTCTGGGTGATGTTGCGATGCCCCCGCTGCTGTTGACTACATTTCTTTTCTCGGCCAACGTGCAATATAGTTCGAGCGAGTTCGCCGCTCCCGACCACCAGCTGGCTCGGTAGCTATGAAATCGGGGTCCGCGGAGCCCTCGCTCCCTGATCTCCTGCTCTTTCAATTTGAAATTACGGGCCCCCCCTCGAAACCTCCCGGCGCCCTGATCGGGCACGGCGCAAGCCGCGATGCAAATGTCCTCAACCCTCTGCATAAGCTGACCGCGCCCAACGCCCAAAGCGACGGCGCCCGACGGGCTCGCGCGGATGGCGGGGCACTGTGCCGCGCAATCAGGGACGCTGTCTAGCTTGGGAAGGGAGGCCTCTGAAACTTCGGCCCAGAGCTCATCGAGGGTCTCCGCGGCCCGGGCACTGGTGGCGACGCCGTCCGCGTCGGGCACCCCGGAACCCGCCGGCAAGCCGACGGCCGCAGGGGGCAGGTCCGCGCCGAGGCCAGGGAAACCCAACCGAGAGACCTCGGGCTCTAGAGGGTCTGTCGGCTGGCAGCAGGTCTTTTCTTGAAGCGAGGGTCCTTCCAGGTCCCGCTCGAGCTCCAGCATTGGGCCTGCTTCAGCCTCGTCGAGGCCTGCGAGGTTTCCCCGCGGAAAATGCGACCACCCTGCCGGCCCTAGAGCTCCCCGCCGTCGGTTCAGCAGCCCTTGCTCCTTCAGCACCTTCTCTTCAGCTTCGCTGGAGGCGGGGGGCAGCGGCGGCGGCCGAGGCCTAGGGCGAGGGCAGGGCACCTTTTTCACGCAGGCGCTGCTGACGCTTGCCGCTGGGATCAGCCTCCTTCTGGCGGGTGGGCGAACGACGCAGGCGTGCCCAGCGATCTCGCAAGCGCTGGGATGACAGAAGTTCGGAGCGTGAGAACCTGGCCGACGCGGGGCTTCCAGGGGACCGAAACGGTTTCGAGGCTCCTGAAATAGTGGGTCGCTTCGGGGCTCGTCAAAACACAATCAATAAGGGAAGGCTGGCTACCCCTTCCGAAGCAAGTGAAACCTTCCAGGCGCGCCACGGTGCCATTCAACTTGGTTGGTCATCCCGACTTCCAGAACTGCTCGGGGGAGGCATTGCAATCTCCTGCAACGATCCAAGGGTTCTTTACAATGCTCAAAAAGGCCCCCATGGAGGCAAGCTTGGCAGCATTCTGACCAATAAAGCAACTCGTACCCTCTAGGTACAGGCTCACTAACGTGATGCTGACTCCCTTGAGGCGCCATGTGACTGGCATCCAATATAAAGAAAGAAAAAATGGGGCTCCTCTGTCCCCGACTCACCTTAACCGTGCTCTCTGAGGCACAGCGAGGGCGAGCCAATTCACGAAACATAATGCGCTGTTGGCGCGCGCACCGCCGTGCGCGCGCCACCTCGAGAGCCTCTCGGAGAGGTCTCGCTCTGGCGAGTGGCGGAGCAGGCGGCCTTGAGGCCCCAGCCTCTCACCTCCTGCTCCAGCTCTGTCAGTTGAGGTTGCTTGACGTGAGTCTCCTGCAGCATGAGGCAGTGGCAGTCGATCGACTCTTGGATGAATCTGCTGGCTGTGACTCCCCACTCAGTAATGTTCCCGATGAACACCTGCCTCGTCGCGCGCTCGCTCTCGGGAACAGCGCGCAAGCGCCCTGGGCGACCGCGGCCCCGTCAGGCAGGGGTGGGCGGTGCCCCGGCCGCCTCCTGCTGGGATCGCGCCGCCGCTTGGAGCCTCTGCTTAGCGATCTCGCTGGCCTGCTCCTTCTTCTGCTCCTCCGTGCTGGCGGTGTCCGCGGCAGCTGGGGTGGCAGCTGCTGCGGCTGCGGCTGGAGCAGCAGGAGGCGGGCCGCCGCCCGTGCTTCTGGCCGTCCCTGGGGACGGGGCCATCCCCCCCTCGTCTGACTGGGCGGTCTGGGCGGTCTCGGGCTGCATCTGATCCGCAGGCGGCTGCTCCTGATTCGACTCCTGCTGTTTGTCATGCTTGCGCTTCTTCGCCGCCTGGATAGACGCTGCCTTGTCCGCGACTACCCTCTGCCTAGCTGGCTCCAGGTGCGCCTTGAGCTGTACCATGACGTCTGTGGTTCTGCCTCTGAACTCGTTCAGCATATTCTCTTTGGCCTTGCTCACCTCTGCGATGGCCTCTTCGTCGACCTCGTCCGCACTGATGTCAAGGGCCGCGTCTATGTCTTTGAGCGTATCATTCTCTAGGGCGTCGGGATCCAAAGTGAGGATGTCGTGCAAGAGCGAAGGTTTCTTGTCGTCCTGGCCCTCGAGCTTGATGGCATCCACCTCGGACTCCGCCTGCGCGACTGCGGCGGCCTTCTCCTCCAGGTCGGACTCCAACTTCTCGAGGCGGGGGGCCTCCTCAACTGCGCTGAAGGCCTTGTCGTAGGCCTTGTTCTTCTGCTCCAACTCCCAGGCCGCGTTCGCCAATCCCGTGGCGGTGCTGACCTTCGGCGGGGACGGCTTGGCCGCCTTGGCGAATTGCTGGGACAGCTCTGGCTTGATGGTGTCCGCGCTGAGCTTCGCCGCACGTCCTCCAGGGCCTTCACGAGGCCGTCGTCCTTCGCTGCGTTCTGCTTGTCTTTGCCCTTCCTGGCCATCTGTGCGCCGCAGTCGCAGCGCCAGTCCTTGCTGGGCAGCACTGAGTCGTACCCCCAACCTCCGCACTTCTTGCATGTAGTCCACAGGTTGGCCCTTTGCTTCTGGCTATACCAAGAGATGCTCTGCTTGGACGTAGTGCCTCCACGCCGTTGTCCGTAGCCGTACTGCCTGTACGCCATCTCGCCGCCTGGGGGGGTACTGCCTTGGTGGTCCCTCAGGCTCTGCACGTCTAGCTGGTACCTCAGCCTCTGGCGCGCCAGCGCCCGCTGTCTCCTCTCTCGCCTGTGCAAGGCTGGCGATCTGGAGCGGGAGCGGTGGCGCTGCGCAGCGGCTCTGGGGCTCCCCGACGTGGCGGGAGGAAGGGGAGGAGGAGGAGGAGAAGGAGGAGGAGGAAGAGGAGGAGGAGGAGGAGGAGGAGGAGGAGGAGGAAGAGGAGGAGGAGGAGGAGGCGCGGCTCGCGCGATGGGCGCCCCTCTGGGGCCCCCGCTCGTCCGCCTGTCGCCTCCTGCGCCCCCGGCGTTGCCCCTCGGCGGCGGGGTCCGGCCGCTGCACCTCTGCGGGCCGGGGGGCCGCGGGAGAGGGAGGGGGAATAGACTGAGACGAACTCCTCCTCCTCGTCATCCTCCTCTTCCTCGTCCTCGTCCTCCTCCTCCTGCTCCTCCTGCTCCTCCTCCTCCTCTTCCTCCTCCTCGTCTCGTCCCCGTCCTCGTCCTCCCCCTCCTCCTCCCCCCCCCTCTTCCTCCTCCACCTCCTCCTCCTCCTCCTCCGCCTCCTCCTCTCCTCCTTCCCCTCCTCGTCCTCCTCCTCATCCTTGTGTTCCTCCTGCCTCGTCCACTCCCCGTCCTCCGTCCTCGTCCTCGCCCTCCTGCTCCTGCTCCTCTCCTCTCCTCGTCCTCCTCCTCCTCCACTTCCTCCTCCTCCTCCTTCTTTTCTTCTTCTTCTTCTTCTTCTTCACATTTTCATGTTCTTCCTCTCTTCCTCCTCCGCTCTCGTGCTCGTGCTCGTGCTCGTGCTCGTGCTCGTGCTCGTCCTCGTCCTCCTCTCCTCCTCTCCACGTCCTCCTCCCTCCACCTCCTCCTCCTCACTCCTCCTCCCTCCCCCTCCTCCTCGTCCACGTCCTCCCCCCCCTCCTCCTCCTCCTCCTCCGCCTCCTCCTCCTCCTCTTCCTCCTCGTCCGTCCTCCTCCTCCTCATCCACCTCCTCCTCCTCCTCCTCCCCTCCTCCTCCTTCCTCCTCTCCTCCTCCTCCTCCTCCTCCTCCTCCTCCTCCTCCTCCCCCTCCTCCCCTCCTCCTCCTCGTCCATCGTCCTCGTCCTCGTCCTCGTCTATTCCTCCTCCTCATCCTCCTCCTCCTCCTTCCCCTCCTCCTTTCCCTCCTCCTCCTCCTCCTCCTCCTCCTCCTCCTCCTCTCCTCCTCTTCTTATTACTATTCCTTAGTGCCCCTCCTCCTCCTTACTCCTCGTCTTCCTCCTCTTCCTCTCCTCCTCTTCCTCTTCCCCTCCTCCTCCTCCTCCCCTCCTCCTCCTCCTCTTCCTCCTCGTCCTCTTCCTCCTCCACCTCCTCCCCCTCCTCCTCCTCCTCCTCCTCCTCCTCCTCCACTCTTCCTCAAATGATGAAGCTAGGGATTAGCAGGAGGGGTGCTCGGGGCAGAAAACACGTGGCAGAACCAGACGGGCTGATCGGGCGGGTAGACACCAACGGGCGGGTCGGGAAGGCGGGCCCAAGCGGCCAGGTCGAGCAGGCGGGTTGCTGAAGCGTGAGTGCTGCATGAATCGCGAGGAGATCCCGATCGATAGCGCGATTCCTAAATGAATCGCGAAAGAACCGGAGCGAGAGCGCGATTCGTTAGCGTCGAGACCGCGGCGTTTGAATACATTGCGAGGAGTTCCCACGCGAGAGCGCGATTCCTGCACACATTGTGAGAATGTCCCGCGCCAGAGCGCGATTTTGATATACATGTTAAGGAAGTGTCTGGCGGGAGCCGTTGTTGTTGTCGTCGTTGTTGTCATTGTTGTTGGGTTTGTTGTTGTTGCTGCTGTTGATGTTGTTGTTGTTATTGTTGTTGTTGTTGTTGAACTCTCATTTCTGAAGAATAATCATCGTTGGTTCCCCCATCACCGGTGCATGCTGTTTTTCTCCATCAAAGTGTGCCCCTCGGCGCTCGCACCCTGTTTTTTGATAGGGTAAATCTCGGTGCTCAAACTGCGCCCCTGGCCCCCCGGATTACAACAACAACGGCTCCCGCCTGAGACCTCCCCCCAATTTACTCAAGACCCCCGCTCCTGAGACTTCCTCACAATTTACTCAGGATCGGTGCTCCCGCCTGTGACTTCCTCGCATTTTAATCAAGACCCCCGCTCCCATCTGAGACGTCCTCACAATTTACTCAGGAACGGCGCTCCCGCTTGAGACTTCCTCGCAATTGAATCAAGACTTCCTCGCAAATTAATATATACCCCCGCTCCCGCCAGAGAGCCGTTTACATTTTATGCAGGATTTGCGCTCTCGCCTGTGACTTCCATGTCATTTATTCAGACATCGCGCTTTCGACACTCAGGAAACTCGCTGCGCCAAGGATGCCGCTACAATTTACTTAGTAATCGCGCTCTCGCCATACTCAAGCATCCCGCTTGACTGTCCCACCGGCCAGACCCGCCCGTCAAGGGATCGCCCGCCCGTCGTGGGCTCCCGCCCGAAATTTCCTTCAGGAGCGGCGCTTTCGCCTAGGACTTCCTCGAACGTTCACGCTCTTACCTTCCTGCTCCTCCTATCCTCCCTTCTCTCTCCCTCCTCTCTTCCCTCATCCTTATGCCTCTCTGCCCTATCCCCTCTCCCTCCTCTCCCTCCTCCCTTCTCCCTCCCCTCTCCTGCCTCGTCCCTCCCTCTTTTTTTCTTTATTTTTTCTCTCTCTTTTTTTTTAAAAAAAAAAAAAAAAAAAAAAAAAAAAAATCTCTCTCTCTCTCTCTCTTTCCCCTCTCTCTCTCTCTCTCTCTCTTTCTCTACCTCTCTTACCTGTCTTTCTTCATTTTTCTTTCTCTCTGCCTCTATCAACTGCCCTCCTCTTCGCTCCTTCTCTCCTGGCGTTTTCCCTCTTGCTTCGTCCCTCCCCCGTCCTTCCTCCCACTCTCCCTCGTTCTCCCCCTCATCTTTTTGCAGGGCCCACACCAATTCCAATGGCTGGCACATGTACGCCCACGAAGGATTGTCCGCCCGTTCAGGTTTGCCCGCCTGTCTAAGCCCGCCGCCCCCCGCAAAGAGAAAGAATCCCCTCTAAAGGGGGTGTAATCGAAGACAAAATGGGCGGGTATCGAGGGTGTGGGGAACTCGTTTTGAATGACACGCGGGCAAATCAGAGCGAACAGTCTTAGAATGACTGTTGTTGTTGAACTCTCACTACTGAAGAATAATTATCTTTGATCCCCCTCCGGTGCACATTGCATTTTTAATTGAAGTGTCCCTCCCGGCGCTCGCACCCTGTTTTTCGATCAAAAAATATTCCTCCTCAAACTGTGCCCGTGGCCCCCGGCTTACAACAACAACAACAACCATTTTAAGGCTGTACGCTCTTTCTTGCCCGCGAGTCATTCAACACGTATACCCTACACCCTCGATGCCCGCCCTCTTCGTCTTCGATCACACCCCTTTCGGGGGGATTATTTCTCTTTGCTGGGGCCGGCGGGCTTAGACGTACGGGCAAACCGGAACGGGCGGACAATCCTTCGGGGGCGTACATCTCTCTGCCCGCCATTGGAATTGGCGCGGGCCCTGCAAGAGGAGGAGGGGAAGAACGAGGGAGAGTGGGAGGAAGGGGAGGGGGAAGGACGAAGGAAGAGGGAAGATACCACGTTGTGAAGGCGTCCTTGGCGCGTGCGTGGTTCCTGAGCGCAGAAACGCAATT